TCTCTTTCCCTCCCTACTGCCCTCTCCTTCTCTTTCCTGTGTTAAAAAATAGAACAAAAATCAAACAAGAAAAGTTCAAGTCCTGCTCTTGGTCTGAGTATCTGTCAGCCGTTATGTTTTAAGTGGATACTGTCTCTTTAAATTTCAAGGAGATCTATGCACATGCATAGTAGAACCCTCCGAGGGTGGGGCTGGAATATCCACTAGCTCAGGCACCCCTATAGTTACCAGAATGGATGTACGTAGACAGCAAGGGACCAACGAAAATATACGAAAAAAAGAATGCCCACACCTCTCTCTCTGAGGCTCTGTCAGGCGTCCGTGGCTTCTCTGATCCTTTCCCCACTTGGCCCCACACAAAATGGTGGCGCCTGGAGCAGCTGAGCATCCCGAACCAGGAAGCAATGGATTTCTTGTTTCTGCCACAAACTCCCCAGCTGTTAAGTCTTCCAACCTTCTAAATATTCCTTTGTATGTGATTCAGAGTACTGGGACCATTCCCTGATCTTTCTTGGTCCTGTATTCTGTGTTGTTCTTGGCAGAGCTTGTCACTACATTTCCACCTGATCCTCCATCTTTTTCTCGAAGCCTATTTATTTCTTGTATAGAAAGAAAATCTAACTCAGCAAGCCCAATGCAGTAAAGAGTTTAGCTAATAAGATCTAACTTTGTAGTTATTTGAAGACATAACGGTACAAGGACTGAAGTAGATGACAAGAGCAGCATTTTCAAGACAGGGAGCAGTGTCCAAGGCCAACTGACCATCCAGGACTGTGCTGGTTACATAGAAAGAATGAAGATAACTTATTAAAGATTCAGACTTCTGGACCCTGTCCTGAGAGGTTCTGATTTAACAGGGCTGTAATTGGACCTGACAATCTGCATTATTTAAGTTTCCCAGGTAATTCTGCTGAAAACCACCTTAGACCACCTTAAATAGCACTTCCTTAAATAGCACTTTTCTTTGCCAAGCTTTTGATCATAGAATATAGTAAACAGTCAACTTCAGGACTCCTGGAATATCACCTTACAAGGTACCCTCACACTAGAAAAGGGTTTTTGCATCTCTGGGGTGGCCTATAGAGGGATTCCTTCTCCTTGAAAGTATCTCTAAAAGTCTGAGAAGATTCCAGATTGTTGAAGACAGGAATTCCAAGCATTTGTATGTGACCTCATGGTGAACAATGATTATTTGACAGTGACTGACATTAATGTGGAAAAGAAGTTGAGGAAAATCCGAGCCAAGACCCAGAAGCATTTAGACCTGTATTCAAGAGATGGCCTGCGAACGCTATGCATCGCCAAGAAGGTGAGAAGAAATTCTGCCAGTATTGCTGTGTATATCATTCCCTTGTTCCACCCTTTCTTTTCCTTTGTGAAAGACCTTTGATATTGGTTCTTATCGTTTCAAGATCTCTATTCTGAGTTACCACATAGATCCATGCCTTTGGTAATTTTGCTGAGGCAGAAATCTGAGTGGTAAGGTTGCATATCAGAGTGACTATGTCATTTTCTGCTTCTTATTGTATATGTAACTGTTGTTATTAAGGTAAGTCCCGATTCATAGAGACCCTGCATAAGGTTTCAAGGAGTGGCTAGTGGGTTTGAACCACCGACTTTTTCATTAGCACTCCAGTGCTTATCCTACAGTGCCACAATTTGTTGTTGTTAATTACCTTCATGTTAGTTCCAACTTATAGTGACCCTGAATAGAGTTTCCAAGGAGCAGCTGGCAGATTTGAACCACCAACTTTGTGGTTCAAGCTGACCTTGTGGTCCAGTGCATTATCCTACAGTGCCACACCAGCACTCAATATGTGTCATAGCTAACCCATAACTAATAAAGTTTTTTTTTTTTTTTTTAATTTTAGATTTTGGTCTTCACAAAATCCTGTTAAAAATTTGCCTAGATTTTAAAATTGGGGCTTTTATTCAATTATATAAATATCTAGATTTCTTATTTCTCTGGAAAATTTGGAGGATCTGGAAAACTGGGCCTGTGTCCTTGGATAGCAACAATCAGCTTGACCCTTGTAACAACTAATGATTAATATGGATTTTTGTGTGTGTTCTTTGGTTAACCACAGTCTCTACCATTCCCTATTGTACTGTCCTGCAGTAATTTAGATTGCCTACTACATGCTCTGATGCATTTGACTTTAAAGCACTTGCAAAGGAGGCATGCAAAGAAGACTGTGGACCACAGAACAAGGACATTTAATAAGGCACCTAACATCTACTAAGGGATCTAAGATTGGCATACATTTCTAGATAGTTAGAAGTGGTTTTTCCTCCATCAATTCCCAGGGTTCTTAATCACTTTAATTGTAATTAGTGCAGTCTAGAATTGAAAGTTTACAACCAGACCCAGCTGGGTACAAATCCAAGTCTCACATCCAATCAGATGTGTGAGACCCTGGGCAAGTTTCTCCAACTCTCTGAGTTTGGGATTTTATTATCTGTAAAATAATGTTAGTGCTCCCTGCATCATACAGTTGTCATAGAGAATAAGTAAGGTAACATGCACAGTAATACGTGCTCCCTACTCTAAGAATTTCCATATGCCCTTACTACTTCCTATTTCCCATCACAGTTATTTATGCATATTTCACCTCCTTGACCACCATTGAGTTAAGTGTTGAGCTGCTAACCAAAAGGTCTGCAGTTGAAATCTACCAGCCACTCAGTGGGGGTAGTCTTCTTGGGTCAAAATTTCTAGTCTCAAAAACCCTATGGAGAAGTTCTACTCTGTTGTATAGGGTCACTATGCGTAAGACTAGACCTAACAGTGGGTTTGGGTTTGGTTTTGGTTTTAGGCAGAGTGTGATTTCCTCAGTGGTGAAAGCCCTACCTATATGCTCTTGCTGTTCCTTATAGTGCTGTACACAGAGTGACACAAAATGAATATCTGAGGCCTAGCCAAAAGGATTATTCTTGTCACGAGGGGTAGTATGCTTATGATGCTATCAGTGAGGTCTAAATGATCTATTAAGACTCAAAGGGAGGAAGCTATGACTATAGTTGGACAGACATGCCTTTATTTGCACCTGCATGGAACATTGCTCAGTTGAGGGGTCTACCTGATTATGCAAGATCTCTGCTGCCTACCTCTTTAGCTTCATTGCTAACCTTTCTACACCTTACTCTACATCCTTCAGGTGACTGGTATGTTCAGGGAACTCAGGGAAATCCAAGTACATTGCTGCTTCATCATCTTTCATTAGTGCTTTGATGAGTTCTCATCCCCATATCACCTCAAAGAAGAGATCTGAACATCTGCATGAAAGTAGTCCTCTCACAGTTGTCCTTCCACCCTGCCACACTCGATCATATCACTCATTGTATTTCCTTGCTAGAACTCATTCTTTTAAATTATTTACTGGGATAATGTCTCTCGCCCTCCACCAGCATATGACCCCAGGCATGCAGGGACTCTGTCTTGATCACTGTTATGTCATCAGTGACCAGAGTATAATAGGGGCTCAGCAGATGTCTGGTGATAGTGGAACCCGAAGATCAATGTTCCATTAATTTATGCATTCTAAAAAAAAAAAAAAAAGCATTGAGGAGAAAGTCCATTTAATTGTGTAGTGAAGCTCAAACAGGCCCGCCCATAGGCGGCTCAGCAGAGAGAGGGCAGGAGGGAGGGACTCTTTCCAGACCCACATGGGCTTTTGATGGAGTTGTTTCCTGTTTGTAGGTGGTAAGTGAAGAAGACTTCCGACGGTGGACCAATTTCCGGCGTGAGGCAGAAGCATCACTCGACAACCGAGATGAGCTTCTAATGGAGACAGCTCGTCATTTGGAGAATCAACTCACCTTGCTCGGTAGTTAAAAATATGTCATTGTTAAGTGAAAAGGGGAATGCAGCAAGTTGGAAAGGGAGTTCTTGGCCCTGATTCTGAGACTGCTGCAAATCCATCTCAATTAGAAGGCTTCTCCAGGGTGCCCTTCCAGGTATTTGGCACAAAATGGATGTACCAGTACCCAATGCAGACTCCTCACAGAGCTTCCAGAGGATGCCCTGGGCGCATTCCTGAATACCCTGCTGGCAGATACCAATGAGGTTGGCCCCCTCTCCAACTACAGCTCACGCCTTCATTTGTGTAAATGTTTACTACACACCTACTATGTGCCAGTAGCATGCCACAGCTCAAGAGCCCTTTCGCTCCGAGAGTCCAGAGTTTAGTGACTAAACTAGATAATTGAGCCGGGTGGAATTTGAAGAAGAGTGTGATGAAGGGGAGACCGAAAGGTATACCAGTGGGGTAGAGTACCAAATAAGAAACACCAACCTTGCCCAGTGCCCAGTACTAGGAAGGTCAGCAACTGAAAGGGAGAGGAAGATTTGGTCAGACAAAGTGTTCAGACAAAGGGAAGGTCACAAGCAAAGACCTGCAGGTAAGAGAGCACAGACCAGCTGAAAACTCAAGAGGTCTGCTGTGGTGGGACCAGAGTGTAGTATCATGATGAAAGGTGAGAGCTCAGCAAGGACCATGTGAATCCCATGCTAAAAGTTTGAAGTGGGTAGGAGGGTAAATGCAAGGACAGATTTGTAATTTGAAAAAAAATTACTCTTTCTGCTGCAGCATAGACACTATAATGATAAGAAAAGGGAGAAATGAGAAGCAGAGAGTCATGTAAACAGACATCTGATGGTGAAAGGATTCATGTGGAGAACAAGGGAGGCTTTACTGATCAAGATTAGTCTCTGCACACCTCAGGAACACGATCTAGGGAAGGCAAGACCCAAACAGCACGTACTGGTTATGTGGAAAAAGTCTTCTTTTGTGTTAGAAAGTACTGCCGAGCTGAGATGAAGAGCAAGTCATGGTTCTATTTTGACCTTCCTGAGTGTCCAGGGACATATCCCTCCACCCCGCTGAGCCTGAGTTTGCTCTCTGGATAAATTATACTCCTTCCCTGGTGGCACTGTGGGTTAGGCATTGGACTGCTAATCACAAGGTCAGAGGCTCAAACCTACCTCTTTAGCAAAAAGATGAGGCTGTCTGCTCCCATAAAGATCAATAATCTCAGAGACTCTGTAAAATGTCACTATGAGTTGGAATTCACTTGATAGCAGTGGTTTGGGTAAGCTGACCAGGCAGTGGTACAAGGAAAATCCTGAGGATGCTGTAAAAATGATGATGATGACTTTATCTCTAAAAGGTAGAATCAAGATTTAATAGGATAAGGTGGCAAGCTATCAGTGCTGTTAACTGTCTGCCCCAACTTAAGGTGACCCCATCTACAACAGAATGAAATGTTGCCTGTCCTGAGCTATCCCCATAACAGATTGTGAATCAGACAATGTTGTGATCCATCAGATTTTCATTGACTGATTTCAGAAGTAGATTGCCAGGCCTTTATTCTTCATTCATCTTAGATTCAAAGTACCATTGAAACCTGTTCAACCTCATAGCAATATACAAGCTTCTGCTGAATAACAGGTGGTGGCTATGCATAAGGTTCAATGGCTGGGAATCAAACCTGGGTCTCTCCCATGGAAGGCAAGAATTCTTCCACTTAGCCACCAACTGATCTTAGGTGGCAAGCAGAGGTAGAAGAGGTTGTTCCCCACCACCTGTGGTTTTTCCCTGTGTTTTTGCTGCTAAGGTATTTGCTTGCTGCCTCATAAAAATAAAAAACCAAGCCCACTGCCCCCTTTAAAGCTGGCCACAAAAACTTATTTTACTAAGAACCAGGAGGTGGGTAGACCAGACTGCCCTACCCACCACAGGAAGCTTTAGTACACCCTTTTGTTTGTGGTATCTGGGAGGAGGCTTCTGTTTCACACAGACCCTGATTAGTCAGTGAGAAGTGTCTCCTCAGCTGGTTTTGCATGAAATAGGGCCTGTCAGAACCTGCCAGCTTCCCCGGACTGGGGAAGGTTTTCACAGCCTTCCTGTTTCATTTTCTCTTTCACACAAATAAATGTGTTTTTCCTCCTCTCCTTCACTCTGCCTGGCTTTAATATAAATCAGCTTCAGAATCTCACCTTCCAGGCTAACCCTTGGAAGGGAAAATGTGGATGCAGCCATCACTTTTCATGGAGTTGTTTACCTGCACATTTGGACCTGAAATACAAAACAGGTACATTTCAGGAAAGAGAGGTTATTTTTCTTCCCTCAAGGTGCCTTGGTAAGAAGAGGCCTGGGTCTGCAATGAGATTTTATCTTACCACCCTGAAACTGCCATGCCATTAAACAACAACACACACACACACAAAAAAAAAACTGCATTGCATTCACATGATGTCCCTTACTATGAAATTAGCTTTTCAGTATGCACCCAATGTAACTGCTTTGCCAACCTATTGTCACTCTGGATTATTAAATGAAATGAAATGCGTTGCTTCTTCCCAGAATGAAATGAGTAGCCATTAGTCTGTGCTCTGAAATGAACCTCAATTGAAATGCAGGTTTATTTTTGCTTAATCACTTAGCAACTATCCGTTACCAAAAAAAAAAAAAAAAAAACTTACCATTGAGTGGATTCCAACTCCTAGCTATCCTGTAAAACAGAGTAGAACTGCCCCACAGGGATTCCAAGATTCCAAGGTTATAATCTTTATGGAAGCAGACTACCACAGCTTTCTACTACAGAGCGACTGGTAGGTTCAAACTATCAACTTTTCAGTTAGCAGCCAAGTGCTTAACCACTGTGGCTTCTAGGGCTCCTCCAAATATGCCAATGTTGTTGTTGCTAAGTGCCGTCGAGTTGGTTCCAACCCATAGCGACCCTATATAGGGTTTCCAAGGAGTGACTGGTGAGCTTGAACCATCGACCCTGTAGTTCAAATGGCTTTGCAGTCTGGCGCATTAACCCATAGCACCACACCAGGACTCCAATATGCCAATACTTGGATGTATATTCATCAAGGTTAGTGCAAAGTTTAAGATCATTCAAAACCTTAAGGAATCGACATCTTCCATTCCCTCAGAGATAAATCCTGGTCAGTTCTGCTGGATAGCAGAAGTAGAGCTAAGATTTCTACCTCTCCACTTTTCTCCCGTCTTATTTCCTCATTGCCTGTCCAGGCCACCAACTCCTTGGACTCTGACTCAGCCTCCTAACTGTTCACCTTGACTCTCATCCTGCTTCCTCCAATTTCCAATCCATTTTCTACAGTAATCTTCTTAAAACTCAAAACTGATCCTATCACTGTCTAACTTAACACCCTTCGATAGCTTTCTTTGCTACCAAATATAATCTAAATCCCCTGGCAAGATTTGGCATGATCTCCCTCTCTGGCTTTCTCTCTTTCATTCCACTCTACCTCTGGGTCTTCACACATGCTGATCCTGCTACCTGGAATTCTCTTCCTCTCCTCCCTCTTTGCTTGACCTGTCAGATCTGAGTTTTAATGGCACTTCCTCTGCAAGGCCCTCCCTGACCTTCCAGATAAAGTTCAAGTTTCTTGTAACAAGTTCACATAGCACCCTGATTTTGTCTCATGTAGGTCAGTTATAAAATCTTATTTACAAGCCTCCAGGCTTGGAGAGGGTAAGAACCTGTTCTTTTCTATTATACGGTGTTCAGCACAGCCTAGCACTTGGAAGATATTTAGTACATTGCCTGACTTGAGAGCCCTTGGGGAAATTTAGCAGCTACTCTTTGATTGTAAGTGTGAGAGCTCCTGTCTTTGATCACTCCAGGAGCCACTGGGATTGAAGACCGACTGCAGGAAGGCGTTCCAGACACGATTGCTGCTCTGCGGGAAGCTGGGATCCAGATCTGGGTCTTGACTGGAGACAAGCAGGAGACAGCAGTCAATATTGCCTATTCCTGCAGACTCTTAGATCAGACTGACACAGTTTACACCATTAATACAGAGAGTCAGGTAAGACCAAACTAGAGACAAGATGTTCAAGTATAGAACTTCCCCTGAGTCCACAGGCTCACTGGTAGATACACACAGAAAACATCCTTTCCTTAATATATCACTGAACATTGAGGCTGGGAGGACCCTAGAAACCATTCAACCCAATAGCTTCCATTTCATCCCATAAATGATTGACCAACTTTTTTTTTTTTTTTTAATTCTAGCACTGTTTACTAGAAAGTCGAACCACTAGTAAATTCCACTTCTGGTCCAACCTTCTGATTTTACAGATGAGTAAACTGAAAGTCACTATGCCTAATTCAAGTGCTCAAGGTCACCCTGCTAGTTTCTGCTATTGAGAACTAACTCTAAAACTCTCTTCGCCTGCGGGACCAGTGCTCTTTGCATTATGCCACAATGACAGACAGCTCACAGAACCGCAATCATCAGTCTCTTACTACTTTGGATTAATGTATCCATTGAAAAAGCCTCAGTTCAATTGCAATTATTCTGAGTTTAAAATTTCAGCTCCAATCTGAATGTCAAATTGACCTTGCACAGAGTAGGCTTCTGAAGAGAACAATACTAGAAACCAGAGAATTTTGATGGGATGGGAAAGAGAAAGAGATAAGCAATGTTTTAAAGCAGCAATTTTCAATCAGAATAGATCCTGGGTAGCAGAGATCAAGATTTGGAGAGAAGTCTGTGTGATATCTGAAGAAGCATATTTAAAGTTATAATAAGATTTTGTGTCTGAGAGGAAAGAACCTAATTTTACAATGTAAGCTGCAAAAAAGTAAAGTTCCATTATCTTCTTGGCTGATGAGTATGGGAAGTAAGCATTAAGATGCATACTGCTACACTCAAACATGAGACTATGAGCCGAAAAGTTGGTGGTTCAAACTCACCCAAAAGGACCTCAGAAGATAGATTTGATGATCTGTTTCTGAAAGGTTACAACTTTGAAAATCCTATGGAGCCGTTCTATTCTGCATACATAAGGTGCCATGAGTTGGAATCTACGCAACAGCTAACAGCAACATCAAAGCGAGCGTGAATTAGATTAATGCATCAGGATATTAATAAGTTAAACACTGTATCATGAAAGCTGGGGAGAGTAGCTGGAGACGTAGGACATACCTTCCATGGGGAAAGGATGGAGAAGTGGAAGCTGGGAAAAGGAAGCACAGAAAAGGAGGCAGGAAGGACACGGGAGTATATGAGGGGGCTTCAAAAAGTTTGTGGGAAAAAATTAAATTAAAAGGTAGTTTAATTTTTCCATAAACTTTTTGCAGCCTCCTTGTATATTTATCAAGATTGGTCCTTTTTCTCCTTTACGGTTTTGCCTGAGGCTGATCTGGATCCAGAATAAAAACTTAGGGAGGTTTATATTGGGTTTTTAGCCTATGAAGCAACTATATTCACATATTTTTAAAACAATAAAAAGGCAGTTTATACTATGAAAAGGGCCTGCGGCTCTTTAGATGAGTGGAGAAAAAAAAATCATCTACTTTCTTGTCAGGTGCACATATTATGCTATGATTAGATTAAACCTCAATGCATTTTCAATATGAAAATAATCTCAGAGACATCTTTGACTTTAATATTATGCTTAGGAAAAAAAGTAATTTGCAACTTGCTTGAGTGCTTGATCCCTATAATAGTGTTGCTGTCTACCTGCCCCATGAGAAATGGAAACAAGGTTGTGATGCTCGTTTGCCTCCAGGTGATTCCTGAAGGAGGACATCTGTAAATCTGAGAGCAAGTCAGCCCGTCCAGGGACCTCTGTGGGTACTGCTCAGTGCAATGCCTTCTTTTAAGAAGCTGAAGAGCTCTGTTGAATGACTAGTCAAAGGCTCCTAAGGGACAACTCTGTTAAAGTTATCTAGGACCCTCCAAAATGGTGCCTGAACACTAGGCACTGCCCAAACTCCCAGAGCTACTAAACAACTCAATCATTTTTCCCCATCCCTGTGCCTGGGAATCAACAGTGGGTTAATAAATATGTTAAGCTAGTGAGTGAAGGAATCCATTTCAAGTGTTATGTTTATTTAAACCCCAGTTTCATGTAACTGTGTATTCAATAGATGTCTTCTCCAAAGGTTTTAGCTTGCCTCATTTGCTATTAATTTAGGGCTACTCTCTCTCTCTGTTGTGTATCTTTAAGTTATAATCAAGTTATGGGCCCTCTCTAGACCTCAGCATTCTCATCCACAAAATGAGAGGCTTACTAACACATGACTGGAACTGCTGATCCGTCAAGGAAATTTAGGGCTTAAAATTCAATTCACTGGGTATCTCTGGTTGAAGGTCTCTCTTAACATTAGAGTTTTAAGGTGTTAGCCAGGGCTGTGGACTCAACTGAAGACTCAACAGGGTGGGCCAACGGAGGTGAGGAATCCTACTTGCATGTTCTCCCACTTAATTGTATCCAGGAGGCCTCAGTTCCTCACCATGTTGGCCTCTCCACAGATCTGCTTCACAATATGGCATCTGGCTTCCCCCAGGGTGAGCCACACAAGAGTAAGACAGAGTCCCTAATCAGAAACCATGCCTTTTTCGTAACCTAATCCTGGAAGTGACTGCCCTTTACTTTTGCCAAACTCTCTTCATTAGGAAGGAGTTAGTAAGTTCAGTCCACACTCAAGGGAAGGAGGTTACACAAGGGCAGGAATACCAGGAAGTGAGGATCGATAAGAACCATTTTATAGGCTGCCTACCACAGTACCTGGAATATCCCATTAGATGGATGAATGGTAACTATTGAACTTATTACATAGAAAATTTGGAAATAGATTCAGTTGTTTTGTTTGTCTTTTTAAGTTTACACCTCCAATGACTTGCTTCAGTCATATATAGGAGAAATTTATATAATTTGTGCCAACCCCAACTTCCAGCAAGGACTATCTTGATCTCTTCCCAGATAAGTGTCTTTGGTGTTAGCTACCCACTGCTGGACATTGTACTCAGTAGAGTTTTCTGTTCATACTCTACTGCCAGCAACAATTAGTTCAGCATCCTCTGAAGGCAGACACAGGAATAAGAAATGGCAGTTCTATTCATTCCAAAAGAAATTATTCCAAATGATTCTTAGAATCCTCTAGATCAACATTCCCCAAACCTATCATTTCAGATAACTTTTGCCAAAATTTACATATGACCTGTATTGTTGTTTTGTTTAATAATTTCACTTAAATTGAATCACTTTTAACATTATTTAATTGATCTTAAAAATAAATTTTCAGCACTTCAATAAACAAAACATAACATTATCCCTTGCTATGGATAAAATTTTTTTTAAAAAAACACTGTAAACTGAAGACTGTGTGAATCAAAAAGCCTTATTAACATTGATAATATTGTTGCCTGCCACAATGTTCTTAATCTTGATTAAAAAGTGATGTTCACAGAACTTTAAGAGGCATTAAGGATTATAATCAATTTCTGGTTTTTTTTATCTAATCAAATATAATGGAAGAGAATTGATGAAAGAAATAACATCCTCACTGTTTCAAGATTAACATTGGGAAAAATCAATAAGACATTTCTTTCACCAATAAGATTTCCACTGTCCATTCTAACCAATAAAAACCTACTGCCATTGAGTCGATTCCAACTCAATATCAACCCTGTATAGGGTTTCTGAAGCTATAAATCTTTATAGGAGCAGAAAGTCTCCTCTTTCTTCTATGGACCAGTTGATGGGTTTGAACGACTGACATTGTAGTTAGTAGTGGTTGGTGGTTATGTGTTGTGGAGTCAATTCTGACTCATAGTGACCCTGTATAGGGTTTCTGAGGCTGTAAATCTTTACAGGAGCAGAAAGCTTCATCTTTCTCCCACAGAACAGCTGATAGTTTCGAACTGCTGACTGTGAGATTAGCAGCCCGATTCATAACCACTACGCGACCAGAGCTCCTTTGTAGTTAGTAGTACAGTGCTTATCCTACAAAGCCACAATGCCTCCTTGTTCTAATCAACACAACCGGCACATTCATATCATAAATCTCAGCACCCTCCAAGGAATAACTGGTTGTCATTAAGGAGCTCTGATGGCATAGTGGATTACGAGCTGGACAACTAACTTCAAGGTCAGTAACTCAATTCTACCAGTTGCTCAGCTGAAGAAAGATGAAGTGTTCTGCTCCCATAAAGATTTACAGCCTTGGAAATCCTGTACAGGGTTGCTATGTGTTGGAAATGACTCGGTGGCACACAACCACCACCACCAACCACCATTGAGTTGGTTCTGACTCAGGGTGACATCATGTGTGTCAGTGTAGCACTGTGCTTCATAGGGTTTTCAATGGCTGATTTTTCAAAAATAGACCTCCAGCTATAATTTGATGAACTTGACCTATACTTAGGGATGTAGTAACTCAAAATACCAACAGAGAGGGAAGGAGTCTTCACATCAAGTATCAGTCCTATCCCTCTGTATACAGGATAGATAGGGACAGGCAACTTAGACATTGGCTACCTAAAATGAGGGGGCTATAAAGGCACGGAGTGACAGGCTTACAAATTTCCAAGAGGAGGTTCAGTTTAAGAGTATGCGTGGGAAGATAGAGTCCCCACTGAATAGTTTTCATCACGTCTAGATGCGCCTGGTGAAAAGAGATGAGATAAGATTCTTATGATTTAATAGTGAGTAGTTGGTGCTTTGAGTTGATGCGCCAGACTGCAAAGCCATTTGAACTGTAAGGTTGGCAGTTCAAGCTCACCAGTTGCTCCTTGGAAAGCCTATACAGGGTCACTATGAGTTGGAACCAACTTGACAGCACTTAACAACAACATCAGATAGTTCTTAAAAGAACATAATGCTCAAAGAAGAAATTTTTTACTCATTAAGCTAAACTATTGCTTGCTTTTAAGAAGACTCCCAAGAATAATTTTGGTTTAAAGTTTAAAGATCATCCCAAGGCAATAGTTTCAGGAGTTTGTTCAACCTTCATAGCACAGGAAGTCTGGAGTCAGTGAGATTTTGAAATTCTGTCTTACATTTGTCCTCTCTTGATTAGATTTTTCTACTGAATATTTGATGAAAATGTTCAGTAATGGTAGTTGGGCACCATCCAGTTCTTCTGTTCTCATAGCAAAAGAGGCAGTTGGTCATGGATACAATTAGCCACACAATCCATATTTTCCTTCTATTCCTGACTCTATACCTTCCTCTATTGTTCCAAGCAAATAGAAACCAACTGTTGCACCTTAGATAGTTTCTTGAAAGCTTTTAAGAACCAATTCACAACTTAATGAACTAGGAGGTAAAACAGAAGCACTAGATGATCAATGTGTCTCTTACTGAGGAGGCCAAGTGGTAGTGATCCTGCCTCCACTACTAAGTTGGATAACCTTGGGAGAATTACTAAAGAATTCATTGTTGTCTTGTTTTGTTTTATTTTTTTTTTTTTTACTAAATCACTGGGATACAGTTTAATAGTTTTAATTTAGACAGTGACTTCAAAGGTCTCTGGGTACTCCATTTCCAACTAAAAAAGAAAGAAGTTTATATATTTTAATTGGAAGCATTGCTTTCAATTAAAGTAAATGGATCCAGCAATATTTTATGTGCCTTGCATCTAAGTAGTATTTGTGACTTGGAGAGAGTAATTTAAATGGAGTGCTATTTTCCCTTGGAAAGTCAGAGAAAGTCAGACATGGCCTCTCTGCCTTTTTTGCACCAATGCACCAGCAGTGCTCCTAAGACCAAATCCAAGGAACCCCACATAGGGTTCTCAACGAGTTTTGCTTCTGTGGTAGGGCCAAATTAATGGCTGTTGTTGTTAAATGCCATCAAGTCGATTGTGACCCTGTATAGGGTTTCCAAGGAGCAGCTGGTGAGCTTGAACCACCGACCTTGCAGTTCAAACAACTTTACAGTCTAACACATTAGCCCACAGCACCATGTCTATTTGGGACTAATTAACTATGTTCTAAAATAATACTCAAAAGGATCAAACTCTGCAATATCCAGCATCTCAATGAAAATTCAGTGTTAAGTGCCATCAAGTGATTCTGACTCATAGTAAAGGATTTCCAAGGAGTGATTGGGGGGTTTGAACTTCTGACCTTGAGGTTAGCCGTACAAATGTTATCCTACAGTGCCACACCAGACTCTAAATGCTGGACTCTATAAACATCAGGCATGAAATAAAATAGACAAATGCAATTCAACACTACAGTGAAATCCGTCAAAATATCCAAAATGACACAAATGCTACAATTAGTAAAGAAGAACATTAGATAGCTATTATAAAGGGACTTTGTGAAGTCAAGCATGCAGACCATTATGAGGAAAACATTTAGACAAAAAAAATGACCTAAATGGAACTTCTACAGAAGCTACTATAAAAAAAATCACAACACAAGCCCATTAAAATCAATAATTTTTGAAGGATTAATACCATCAAGCAATAGCCACAGATCCAGGATTACTTTTCCTGTAAAAGTATGGTGAAAATACCTCAGTCCTGTTAAAGTATTTCAATGAGTTAAAACTTGTAAGTAATATAGAAGAATCTATGGCACAGATTTTCATGGCTATAGAAATGCTTGTGAAATGACATGAAAGAAATATTCCAGATATCCTCCCAGAACACACAGGAGGTGGGCCTCTTCCAACTCAACTCCATATTTATTCCTGAGTTTTCTCTGTTGATTCCTTTCTCTTCAGTCACAGAGCCTAAACCAGGATTGGCAGAGAGATGACATTTTATCTGAGCTGCTCAAATTCAGTTGAGTATGGAGGGCTCCAAGTATAGAGATGTATCTGGTTTTTTCTACAGTATACAGTCCCACATGGAGGTCCTGTCACTCTTAAAGTCTTTTGATATAATTGAGTCAAACCCACCTGATGTGGTAGCACTTTTGAATAGCTCAAGATAAACCTGTTTGGGATGTAAATTAGATCTGTAAAATCCCTTCCTCTAGGCTAGACCACCAAGCACCTAGACTAGAGTCCAGTTTAAAGGGATTGATTCAGACAGTGATTTCAAGGGTTTCTAGGCACCCTGTTTCCAACTGAAGAAGGAGAAATTGATACATTCTTACAAATGAACCACCTCCAACTGTATAAATGTCTTCAAAAATCCATAAATTACTAGATCCAGTAATGTCCTTGGGTTTTGCATATAAATAGTGTTTAAGACTTGGAAGAGTGATCTGAATGGAAGGTTAGGGAGGAGACCAGATTTCTTTGGTTGTTGGTAAATGGTAAGTCATGTACAGCAGAGATGGACAAGGTACCTGCTGTGAAAGACTTAGGTTGAAAGATGAGTTTGGGGAGTAGAAGAGAAAGGAAGTGAACTTTTTCTTTACAAGATTGACAGAATTAAAATTTATATCCAGAAGGAGGAAGTGGAAGATAGAATATGAGAGGATTAAATAAACAACAGATGGTGGGAAAAGAGAGTAGTGATGTTGAGTACACAGGCTGATTAGGACCATTGGGGATACAAGGAGTAGATCTATATGTTGACTTCAGAATCTCTGTCATTCAAAATATTATTGAGTCCACCAGCTGCTGCTCAGAAACACTGTACAGGGTAGCTATGAGTCAGAATTGACTACACAGCTTTTAACAACAAGAACTCAGAATAGTGGGAAGCACTATGGCTTTGTAGAATAAGCACTGGACTGAGAACCACAAGGCTGGTGATTTGTGCCTACCAGCTGCTCAGCAGGAGAAAAAGAAGGCTGTCTGATCCTGCAAAGATTTACAACCTCAAAAACCCTGTGAGTCAGAACTGACTCAATGGCACTTAACAACAGCAACAACTCATTGCTTCAATTTCTTTATCACTAAAATAAGGTTTGTCATACTCTACTGCATGGTAATGTTCTAAGGAACAAAGGAGACTGAAATGAAAACACCACACCAGCGTGACATGTTGGCATTAGTTGTCATCTTATTGCTGTTAATCATTATCTTAAACCATCGCTGTATCAATTCCCATCTTTCTGAGCTCCTAAGTAGTCCTTATTATCTTGTTCATTAATTTGGTTCCTAATTAATATTTCTCTCATGTTGTTTCAAATATTGCAAAGAAGCATAAAACTAGAGAATGATTCCTAGGTAGTCTCTATGGGGGTAAGTTTTATAACCGTCTTACTAAAGAATTAAGTGAAATTTTAACATTATTCTAATGCTGCTTACTAATACTCTACTTATTATTATGACTCTTTATAGGAAGTCTGTGAATCCATCCTCAACTGTGCCCTGGAAGAAGTAAAGCAATTTCATGGACCACAGAAGACAAACCACAAGCTCTTTGGGTTCTGCCTGCCTTCTGAGACACCATCTACCACTTCAGTTGCTGTCGTCCCGGAAATTGGACTGGTCATAGACGGAAAAACATTGAATGTCATATTCCAGGGAAAGCTGGAGAAGAAATTTCTGGAACTGACCCAGTATTGCCGGTCTGTCATGTGCTGTCGCTCTACTCCACTCCAGAAGAGTATAATAGTCAAGCTGGTTCGAGACAAGTTGAGAGTCATGACCCTTTCCATAGGTACCAGTCTTGCTGACTGCTGACTTGTGGGTGGCGGTTTGGCAGAAGCCTAGAGGAGAGGTAGGAGGTCAGGTCAAAATCCAGATGATTAGGCTGAGAGCCAATATGAGAGATTTCAAAATGGCGGTGAGGAGATGCAGCAGATACTAAGTAGAGTTGGAAAGTGACTCAAAGTTCTAGAGAAGGAAAAGGAAAGAGAAGTCAGATTAGGAAATATCAGTACTTGGATAGGTTAGGAGGAGGGTCCAAGCCAACAGGAACCTAGTATTCAGAATATCCATGTCGCTTAAGAAATATTGCCATCAACTATATATATTCAGGTCACCTCTGTTCTAGGATGCAGGCCATTTCCCCTTCAATACTTAGCACATGACTCAGTAATATGAACTTCAATTTAGTTGCTTGATTTTGCCTCTTGACTCACAAAGCTTATAATATTTACTATCTAGCCCTTTACCTTTACTAGTGGAGTCCTGGTGTGACACTGTGGGTTAATGCACTGGACTGCAAGGTTGGGTTGAACCACACGGTCAGCAGTTCAAGCCTCACAAGCTGCTCCTCAGAAACCCCATACATGTCGCTATGAGTCGGAACTGACCCTTCAGCACTTAACAACAACAACCTTTACTAAAAATATATGCCAACATGTGGTTTAATTCATGTTTGCTAATGTATTCTGAGTGTGGGTGACTGGTGGGGAGATTTTAATGGTTATTTTTGTACATTCATTCTTACATACACATTCCAGCCAAAAGTAAATTCTCAATCAATTCTGACTAGTTGGTTATGGTGCAGTGATTAAGCACTCAACTGCTTAGAATTGGCTCAACCAATAGGTGGGCAATTCAAATCCACTAGCCACAATATGGGAGAAAGATTTGACAGTCTGCCCCTGAGAAGATTCACAGCCCTGGAAATCCTATACCAAAGTTCTACTCAGTCCTGTAGAGTTGCTTTAAGTCAAAATTGACTTGATACAGTGGGTTCAGTTTGGTTTAGTTGGTAATGAAGAATTGTTCAGTGGGGACCCAACTTTGATTATGGTTGAGGAAGAGAAATAACACTGTACTTACTTAAAACCTTCTAAAAACACCCAGGCCTGGTTTACAGAAATCATCATAATCTGATCTCCATTAATTCTCCAACCACATTTCCCACCACCACTACTTCCCTCTCCAGCATACAGCACTCTATCTTCTAGCAAAATGGAATTGTTTACCCTTCTCCATCTGCCATATCCTCTCTGCACAAATCATTCCCTGAACAAAGCATTCCTCACACTTCAACGTATCCTTCATTTCTTTTGGGAGCTTCCTCAGTATCCAGCATTCATAGCTAAATATTAGACCTTACTATGGGGAATCCTGGTATGGCGCTGTGGGTTAATGTGCCAGACTGTAAAGCTGTTTGAACTGCAAGATTGGCAGTTCAAGCTCACCAGCTGCTCCTTGGAAACCCTATACAGGGTCACTATGGGTCAGAATGCGTACTGGTTACAAATCGGGCTGCAAACCGCAAGGCCAACAGTTCAAAACTACCAGCTGTTCTGCAGGAGAAAGATGAGGCTTTCTGCTCCTGTAAAGATTTACAGCCTCAGAAACCCTGTACAGGGTCGCTATGAGTCAGAACCGACTCCAAGGCACAAAACCATCAACCATGGGTCAGAATCAACTCAACAGCACTTCACAACAACAATGATGCATCCCAATAGACTGAGATCCTTGAGTACAGGAATGATGTCAGTCTTATGCACCACTTCTTCACGTGCCCAGCACACACCAAGTTTTGCATTCATTTTGGACATCTTCCAAACTAACCATCTTACTAAAGAATTAAGTGAAATTTTAACATTATTCTAATGCTGCTTACTAGTATCCTACTTATTATGGCTCTTTATAGGAAGTCTGTGAATCCATCCTCAACTGCGCCTCTCGTCCTCCAACACAGACATGGAAAGAGACTTTCTTTACTGGTATTTGAAACAAGAGGTCTATTCCACATTATGCTTGTCCTAGGCCTTTAGGTAAAAGCAGTTCTGAACAAAAAAGGACCAACGAGGATGTAGAGAGCAGGCCTTTAGAAACAGCATCCTACTTACTCCCTGAATTCTCCTCTTCAGAAATTCACACACATATGAAACCAAAGCCCAGATTGATTCCCAGAGCTGGGAGATTTGCTTCATTCTCATAGCAAAAGAAACAAAACCAGCTGAGCGAAAAATAGTATGATCTCCACCTCTACTTCCCCTGGCTCATAGAAAGAGAAGGTTGAAGGTTGGATTCGTTCTACCACGAAGAAAAAAAAATATGCTATAAATAGAAATGATTATAAAAAGAATAAAGTCCTATAAGGACAAAAATTTTAAGTTGAATAAATTTGTTGGCAAGTAAGTAGGGGAATAAAGCTCTCTCTCCCTCAATTCCATATTCTCTATGTTGAATAATGTAAATTTGATAGCAGTTTATTATGAGAAGTTACTGGATAAAATGGAATAGCAGAGAAGAATGAAAATACATAGTCTAGAACAGGGGTTCACAAATTACAACCTTTAGGCTGAATCCAGCCTACCATATATGCAGGTACTAAGAATGGTTTGAATGTTTTCAAATGTAGAATATGCAATCTATAAGCAAGAACGGTTGCTCAATTTTGTCTCTTGGACCACAAAACCTAAAATATTTACTATCTAGCTCTTTACAGGAAAAGTCTAGAAGATGAAGCACTTGGGAGAGATGCAGGGTCTGGCTTGCAGAGAAGGCTTCATTGTACAGAGCTGTGCTGTGCAATATGGTTGCCACTCTGTGGCTATTGAATTTCTGTGGCTATTGAATTTCAATTAAAATTAAACTCATTTCCTTAGTTGTACTAGCCACATTTCAATGATCACATGTGGCTAATGATTTCTGTTTTGAACAGTGCAAATACACAACACTTGCATCATCACCTAGAAATTGATATGATAGTATTGGTATAGAGGAAAGCCATGTGTGTGTATATGCATGTGTGTGTATTTCTGGCCTTATCTTCAATTTCCTGAAACAACTCTGTTCATTGAGTGGAAACTCAATGGGACTAAGTGTACCTCCACAAAAAAGATCAGTTAATCCCATATTTCTATAATCAAAAATAAAACTGACCTTTGTCCCTCACCTTGGATACCACTGACAACTTCTGGGGGTTTGGCTGTCCAAACACTTCAGTTGTCTGAATTCGGTCAATTATTTCCAGTTCTACTGAGTTAGGAAAGAGTACTGACCCTAGAATCAGAAGATCTGAGTTCTAGTTTTAGGTTTTCTTCACTTCACAAGCCGAATTTTCCTTGATGAGTCCTTAAATTGTTCAGATTGTTCTCCACTTGCTCATCAGTACAGTCCATTGTAACATTTATAAACAGTAAAGCACTGCCTAATCTGGCACTTATCATTGTCTTCCCAATATCTAACATTGTGCCCAGAAAAAATATTACAATAAGTATTTGTTGAATGTTAAAGTAAAGTAGAACTCCTTGTCCAAAGAAAAGAAAACAGCTCACAGACCAAGTACTACAGTAATGATTTTTTCAACAGGACTATACAGAGCAATGTTAAAAGGATTCAGTCTTGTACAAATGGAGATCCTTTGTTAAGTGCCATCGAGTTGGTTCCTGTATAGGGTCTTTGCAGGACAGAAAGCCTCATCTTTCTCCTGTAGAGTGGCTGGTGGGTTCGAATCACCAAGTTTGTGGTTTGTAGTCCATTGCACTACCAGGAGACCCTTGTTGTTGTTAAGTGCCGTCAAGTTGGTTCTGACTCATAGTGACCCTGTATAAGGTTTCCAGTGAGCACTGGTGGTTTTAAACTGCCAACTTTGGTTAGAAGTCCAGTTTAGAGTCACTAAATAGAAATCATTCAAACAGTCACTGAGCAGTTGGATAGTAATGAAGACCCCCTCTTCTTTCAGGTGATGGAGCAAATGACGTAAGCATGATTCAAGCCGCTGATATTGGAATTGGGATATCAGGACAAGAAGGCATGCAGGTATCGTTCCCTTCAACTTCTTGTTTCTTTTTACTTTTCTTTATTCTTATTGGCATAGTGATAATAGTGATTCTGTGGCAAAATTCTCACCTTCTACATGGAAGTCTCAGGTGTGAATTCCAGACAATGCAGCTTCTACCCATCTGTCATTGAAGACTTCTGTTATGCTATGATGCTGAACAGGTTTCAACAGAGCTTCCAGACTAAGACAGACTAAGAAGAATGACCTGGCAGCATACTCCCAAAAATCAGCCAGTGAAAACCCAGTGGGTCCAATGGTCCAGTTCACAACCAGTGTTGGAGATGGTACAGGTCCAGGCAGTATATGGGGTCTCTATGAGTCAGGCACTAACTCCATGGCAGCTCACAACAATGATTCTTATCTCAGAGCTAAGGAATTCCCCATAGTGCTGGATGATCTTCCCACACAGAGTTTTGCACAATTATCTATCATCTGAAAGTCAGGGCTTCCATACCTGTGTATGACCTCCATCAGCAACTTTTTACCTCAAGTCTTTCAGAACACAGAGAGAGTGTAAAGGATAATTGGTTTTGCACAGACAGTGGTGATGTCTGTATTTTAAAACCAAAGAGTAGCCAACCATTGAGGAACTATAGCCTTCCTCTGACTCCATGCTTCCAGCCACTTCCATGGTTGCAATACCCTCCATGATACAAGGACACTTGAAAATATTTCTCAACTGCTATTTTAGTCTTGATGACTATATTGATCCAAAATACCTTGGGACACTTCAATTTGGTGGCACAACAGTTAAGCCCTCAACTACTAGCCTTAGGCTTGGCATTTGGGATTCAACCAGAAACACCTCAGAAGACAGGCCTGGTGAACTGCTTCCAAAAGATAACCATTTTGAAAATGCTATGGAATCATTCTACACTGACTACATGAGGTTCACTGAGTTGGAACTCATGGCAATTAATAACAGTCGGAGCGTGATGTGATAGGATAAGCACTGAACTGTTAACTACAAGGTCAGTGGTTCATACACACCAGTCACGCCTTGGAAACTTTATACAGGGTCTTTGTGAATCAGAACCTGCTCAATAGCACTTAACAATAGCAGTGTCGTCAAAATTTAGCCTAGGACAAGTATACTAATTTGAGCTGCTAAGTTTTCCCATTAAAACAGACCCCTTTTGTGGTTATTTTTAACAATCATTAACAATTGCATTCTCACCACCACAGTAGACATTTAGTGTTGCCTAAATTTGTTGTTGAGGATAAAAGAGCACTGAACCAGAAGTCACAAACTAATTATGTGTTAGTTGCTTTTTGAGTATCTACCATCTGGCAGCACTCTGTAGGCACTTCATACTGTTTTTCATGTTTTGTGTTTTGTGTTGTTTTTTATTTTATTGTGTTAAAACATACGTAACAAAAAGTTTATCGTTTTAACTATATTTAAGCGTACAATTCAGTAAAATTAATTGCACTCTCTCATTATATTATACAACCACTACCCTGATTTCAAAAGTTTTACGTTACCCCAGAAAAAAACTCAGTGTTCCTTTAGTAGTAACTTCTCATTCTCTCCTGCTCTAAGCCCCTGGTGACCATGAGTAAATGTGTGTCTCTGTGCATATTCTAAATATCCCATATAAGTTGGATCATTCAATATTTATCGTTTGGTGTCTGAATTATTTCACTCAATATGGTTTCACGGTGGTGGTTGTTTTTTGTTTGTTTGTTTGGTTGGTTTGTTTTGGTTAGGTATCATCGAGTTGGTTCTTACTCATAGCGACCTTTTGCACAACAGAATGAAACACTGCCTGGTCCTGTGCCAATCCGCAATTGTTATGTTTGAGCCCGTTGTTGCAGCCACGATGTCTATCCATCTCATTGGGGTCTTTCTCTTTTTCACTGACCCACCACTTTTTCAAGCATGATGTCCTTCTATGTTCTGTCCCTCCTAATAACAAAATCTATCCATCGTTATTTCTAAGATGCATTCTGGCAGTACTTCTTGCAAGAAAGATTTCTTTGTTCTTAGAAGTTCATGGTACTTTCAGTATTTTTCACCAACACTATAATTCAAATGCATCGATTCCTCTACTGATGACTTATTCAATGTCCGACTTTCACAAGCATATGAGGTGATTGAAAATATCATGAGCTGCATCAGGTGCACGTTAATCCTCAAACTGACATCTTGCCACACCAGGACTCCTATATATATGCAGGACAAGGCAGTGTTTCATTCTGTTGTTGTTAGGTGCTGTCGAGTTTGTTCCAACTTATAGCAACCATGTGTAGGGTTTC